TTGTTTTCGATCAAAACATGCCACGACAAGTACAAATCCAGAGTTTAAATTGGCGGCTAATATATGCAAAATGCCTGTCAATCACAGTTTGAGTAAGCGAGCATAATAAGCATTCATTTACATAGTGGATGGAGGCGTAGTTAAAGGCCCAGGTATACTATAAATACGGTCCTAAACAATAGGGATTATTTCCTTGCTTGTCACGCTGTAGTAAACAGCTCCAGCCAAGCCCCGGTAATAGCGCGTTTTCTCGAACTTACAGGTCGATTATGTCGTGCCAAAGTGGATGCATGTGACTATGAATATCACAGCAGTGACTGTATGTAGTATTTAAGACAATAAATAGTGTACGAGCTGAGATTTTGGCGGATAAAAGTCAAAAACTCGAACCGAGGAAAGGGACACGCTACTAATCTGGAATAATTAACTCCTGTCAATCAAAGTCACGTGATGTTGGACCGCTGAAACAGGGTGCGTCATAGGCTATGCAAGTGATTAACAACACTCATTAGCATAGTCACACATCCAATTCACACTTGCCCGGGGCAAGTGAATTGGGCCTTTAATTACCCATGAGCATGTGGTGCAATCCATGGGATTGAGCGGTTCCCCTTTAACCAAGGAGATAAATTAGAGCTATCATGGAACAGGGAAGAACAATAGCATCCACTCTCTCCTCTCCTATTACCTACCATAGTACATGCATAAATAGAGGCGGTGTCTATGGTCAAAATAAATCATATTTTAATGATCTAGTACCAGTATTTAATAAATTTCATTTTTATTTTATATGGGTTTATTTCATAACATCAATAGACCCAATAATTTATAATTTATCATTTTTCTTATCATACCTTAATTTCTGAAAATGGCATATCTCTTCCTCCAACGTACAGATAACCATGTGTTTCAGGTAGCATACTGCAGGTAGATAACAATACAGTAACTTAGTAAAGTAAAGAATGCTAACGTACATGTATCATTTTAAGCAATATGTAAGTCTGATTTGAGAAAGGTGATAAGTGAAATGGTGGTGTGTCTCAGTCTTTCATACACTGAGTAGAGAACATACCCTGGTTTCTGTACTTTTTGAACTTTTAATCTGAAGTCTACAGAGTTTAAAGACGGTGGTTTCCATTTCAGTGTTTGTTGACATCTACCTGCTTCATATGCCTGCAGAAAAATAAAAATAAAAATACTGTAAAATTAAATTTAAACATCAAGGTTTGAAACAGTAATGATCCAGATAATATAGTCTGTCATCTTGATTTGAGTCAAGGCCCAGATATCTCTAACACTCTGTAGTGGGACATGTTAGAGTATTGTCAGCCAAATCACAAAACAAAATTAGTGGCATGCATGCCAGAAAAAACAGATCAAGACATAGCCACATTTAAACACCGGCAAGGCAAGCATCTGCTAAAAGTGTTCTGTCTTTGTGCATACGACATTTAAACACTGGTGAAGTAAGCGTCTTCTAAAAGTGTTCTGTCTTTATGCATTTGGCATTTATACACTGGTGAAGCAAGCGTCTGCTAAAAGTGTTCTGTCTTTGTGCATATGGCATTTAAACACTGGTGAAGTAAGCGTCTGCTAAAAGTGTTCTGCCTTTGTGCATATGGCATTTAAACACTGGTGAAGCAACTGTCTGCTGAAAGAGTTCTGTCTTTGTGAATATGGCATTTAAACACTGGTGAAGCAAGCGTCTGCTGAAAGTGTTCTGTCTTTGTGCATTTGACATTTAAACACTGGTGAAGTAAGCGTCTGCTAAAAGTGTTCTGTCTTTGTGCATTTAACATTTAAACACTGGTGAAGTAAGCGTCTGCTAAAAGTGTTCTGTCTTTGTGCATTTAACATTTAAACACTGGTAAAGTAAGCGTCTGCTAAAAGTGTTCTGTCTTTGTGCATTTGGCATTTAAACACTGGTGAAGCAAGCGTCTGCTAAAAATGTTCTGTCTTTGTGCATTTGACATTTAAACACTGGTGAAGTAAGCGTCTGCTAAAAGTGTTCAGCCTTTGCGCATATCGTATTTAAATACTGGTGATGCAACTGTCTGCTGAAAGTGTTCTCATTTTGTGCATATGGCATTTAAACACTGGTGAAGTAAGCGTCTGCTAAAAGTGTTCAGCCTTTGCGCATATCGTATTTAAATACTGGTGATGCAACTGTCTGCTGAAAGTGTTCCATCTTTGTGCATATGGCATTTAAACACTGGTGAAGCAAGCGTCTGCTGAAAGTGTGCACATGGCAATCTCAATCACCTCATGCAATAATGACAGTGTTTACTTACATCTGGTACAGGTTGGAATATAAGACCATCAGTTTCATGTCCACATTCTTGTGCGAATTTACCATCAACAAGCTAAAAAGAAGGCATATATAAAATGGGTACTGAATGATTATTAATGCAGAAATGCATGTAGGTATGAAACCTCAGTGAAATTGTACAACATGCATAACACACCGCATGCATCCATGGAACCATAATGCATTGCAATACATTATTGTATTTCACTGCACTGCAACCCTTCCAGGAACCATAATGCATTGCAATACATTATTGTATTACACTGCACTGCAACCCTTCCTACAACCATAATGCATTGCAATACATTATTGTATTTCACTGCACTGCAACTCTTCCTAGAACCATAATGCATTGCAATACATTATTGTATTACACTGCACTGCAACCCTTCCTACAACCATAATGCATTGCAATACATTATTGTATAACACACCACATGCATCCATGGAACCGTAATGCATTGCAATACATTATTGTATTTCACTGCACTGCAACCCTTCCTAG